CTTTCATTTATTTTTACTAAATGATAAAGACTTTATTACTTACCTTAAAGTTAAGATAAATCCAAATGTGTTCATCACTTCCTTCCAGAAAAGGCTCAGGTAAATTGAAGTGAGGGCTCTGAGACGTGGAGAGCATTTTTCCCTTTTGGCTACCATCTTGTTCATGCCATCCAGTTGGCCATAGGTGGTCTTTTTTCAGAACACATAAGAGGACAAGTAGGTGCTATTGGGTCCCCTGCCTTGATTGGCCTTGGACTATGCCAGAGACTTATTCTCACCACATTGGGTTCCTCCACTACTGGCTTTCATTTCATGCCGTGGGCCTATTGACATGATGTGGTTGAGAGAAACTGAGTCCCACAGACTTGGGTTTCCAGTTCTCACTTCACCGTTTGTGACTTTAGACAAGTTATGTAACGTCTCAACAACCAGTTTCCCTATTGGTCTCAGTAACTCGCAACTACTAGCGGTAACAACCCTACAGAGCCTCTCTGCTGACTAACTAGCAAAGTATGCCCTACTTTTTGTATGGTGCTTTGCGGTTCATGAGAGCTTAGTAAGTCTTAGCTGCTGGTGTCAGTGTTTGTCTTACTTACTGTTCTATTGTAATGAAGAAACACCATGACCAAGGCAACTTACAGGTTTTGAAAAACCATTTAATTGGTGGTTTGCTTACAGTTTCCCAGACTTAGTCCATGATCATCAAGGCGGGGGGCATGGCAACAGGCAGACAGGCATGATGCTGAAGCATTAGCTGAGGGCTTTCCTCTTATTCACTAGCCTGAGGCAGAGAGAGACACTGAGTCATGCTGTGGGCCTGTTGAATGTGACGTGAGAAAAACTGACATTGGCAACTGAAGCCTCAAAGTCCACCTCAAATGATGCAACTCCTCTAACAAGGTCATACCTTCTAACCCTTCTCAAGTAGTCTACCAACTGGGAACCAAACATTCAAACATGAGCTTATGGGACCATTCTTATTCAAACCACCACAATATCATAGTAATATATTATTGCTATTATTTTTAAACTAAAAGTGAGTTTGAAAACAGTGTTTTTAGATTTTAGTAAACTACTTAGTATAAAGTACGTTAGATATAATAAGTAATAAAGAATAAGAAAAGAACAGATATGCCATGTTTCATTGCTGTAATCATAGACTAGTCTTCAGTAGCCACAGTCCTCATAAAGTGAAGATGATTGTAATGATAATAATACTTACTGAACATATTCCTTGGTCAGAAGCTATTCCAAACACTTTATAAATAGAAACGCATTAAATCATTAGAAAAGCCACACGAGGTAGGTAGCATTGTCATCTCTGTTGTACTGTAAGGACTCAGGAGTACAGAATGCTCAGAGCAGGAAGACAGCTCATTCAGTGGAATGCTTGAAAGATGAGGACTTGAGACTGGATCCCACAGTAACCTCTCAAGAAGCACAGGCCTGCAGTCCCAGTCCTGGGCAGGCAGAGACGGGATCGCTGAGCACTATCTGCCAGCCAGGCTATCAGAATTGGTGACCTCCATGTTTTAGAGATGCTTCCTCAAAAAAGAAAGTAGAGGGTGATCCAAGAAGGTTCCCGGCCTCTACATTTGCCTGCATGCAGACAGACATGCATGCATATACATTTATATATACGTATAATACACATACAAAAGGAAGCATAAGTAACATAGCCATGACCTTTGTCAAGTAGGCTCTGAAAACAGAAGTTTGGGCTCAAGCATTAAAAGAGGGAACTCTGAAGATGGAAAATAAGGCACAGGCCAGATCACTAGCACCCCCTCCCACTTCAATTAAGAGTGGGAGATTGAGGTGTAAGGAACCAGAGATGCAGCATGATCCAGTGTACAGCTGTTTTATTGACCGTTTAGTTTTAGTATATGTGTGAAGTGTTTTGCCTGCGTATGTGTATTTGTACTACACGAATGCCTGGTGTTTATGGAGGCCAGAAGAAGATGTGGGTCCTATCGAACTCTGTTGTAAATGGTTGTAAGCTTGCATGTGGGTGCTGAGATCCCAACCTGAGTCTTCTGAAAGGGTAGAAAGTGTCATATCTGCTGAGTCATCTCTGTAGAGCCCCAGTGTACAATTCAAAAGGATCACCGTGGCACTTCTAACCAGATCTGAAATGTTCCAGAAATGTTGATGTTTCAATCATCAAATGTGTGCTGGTCAGAGGCCCAGAGAGGCCTGTCTGTGTGGTCAGCCCTGTGGCTCTGGTGTTACAGAGACTGTCATGTCATGCAGCTCCTTCTCCTCTGGGCTTTTGGCTTTCCCTGGACTACCTAAAATATATGTGGAGGATGGGTCAATAGAGTTCTGGGCCAGGTGATTTATTTCTGTCCTGGCCAAGTGAAGCATGCAGACTTTTTCTCCATCCAAGAATTAGGGAGGTTTCCACTGTGTCACCAACTCTGGCCATTACCAAAAGGGTGGGCCACTGGCAATTTCCATTCCTTTTAGAGGAATGACAGCATTTAGTGAATGCTGCCAACCTACTTGAAGGCATTTGATAAGCCTGCTAAGGCTGTCCTCTTGCATGAACCCTTTTGTGTGACTGTCAAGCAAAGCTATGATCCAGTTGACAATATAATATCATTCAGGTCATCAGTTCACTCAAAGCCATCACATCCTTCCTTCAAAGTCTGCCAGGCGAGTTGAGTTAATGACAGGGAGGCATCTTGAGCTTTTAAGCCATAGCATGTCATTAAGCTGTAAGAGCAATTTCAACGGAGGCACTTTTGTATTTAATTCACAACCTGCCTCTTTTTACAGTTATGCGACTAATTCTTTCCTGAGGCTCCAGAAGAAAACTTTTTAGAACTAAGCGCTGGCCAAAAAAGAAGCACATATTCTAGAGAATAAGCAAGGCGTGGTGCTGTGTAGCTGAAAGTATTTTAACTTCTCTTTTGGCTTCTCAAAGCTTAATGCTTTTCCGGACAGACTACTGTCTCTCCCAGACTTCCTGTCTGACTTGTATGTGAGAGCCGAGCCCAGTCCATTTTTTTTAAACACCCAGAATGTGAAGAGACCAACCCTTTATTCAACTCTTATCTCTCTGGCTTTAATTTAAGCTGTGTTCCTTTTATTTGACCTTCTCTGGACGTGGAGAGGAGCTGGTCAGCATCTTCTGCATCTAAGGGTCCTTATTGAAATTGTGCCTCACTCAGTCTTTCAGGCTGAACAATTCTACTTCCTATGGTTTTTCCTCCCAGGGTTTATTCTCCAATATTTTTACCATTTGGATTAGTCTTTAGCTAGACTGTCTCCAGAGGGTCTTTGTTAATTCCTTTCATAAAATTTTAGGAAGTCATTTCCTCTGAGAAAATCAGAAATGTGTGTGTGTGTGTGTGTGTGTGCATATTTGTGTGTGTGTGTGTGTGTGTGTACCTGATTTTGGTCATCCTGTCAAGCTAGTGGCATCATTGGACTGGGTTTTGTTTTTTTTTTTTTTTTTTTTTTGAGGCCCTTTAATTGTTTACAGCTTAGTGGCTCACATCTGCACACAATAGCGTGAAAGTCTTCACTTGGCTGAAATCTTTCTAGGAATGCCTAGATGCCACTTTCTCATGCAATGGAAGGGAGCCTCTAGTTCCTCAGCAGCTGGTCATTTTCTGAGTTGTTCACTGAGTTAAGAGTGTTAGGGCCAGCTTGCAGATGACCCCCAACTCAGAGTTTACAAAAACCTGGGTAGCATTAATAATATTTATCTATCTATCTATCTATCTATCTATCTATTTATTTATTTATTAAACAAGTGTGGATGCTTTGCTCGCATGTGTCAGCATAGCATGTGCACACAGGACCTGCAGAGTTCAGATCCCCTGAAACTGGAATTACATGTAGCTGTTAGCTGACCTGTGGGTACTAGGAATTGAACCAAATGACAGAGCCCATAATAATTAAAAAAAAAAAAAAAAACTTTACATACTAGTATTGATGGCCAGCCACATGGCTCTCTGAACCTGCAACAGCTTCTAGCACTCTGCTTATCTTTTCTTTTCTTTAGTGACAGGATTATCTTTGTAGTCTGATGAGAGCAGTTGTGACAGCCAGTCAATGCTCTATCCTTCCACACAGAAGAATGACCTTTCTTAATGATAAAATGCTGAGGGCTACAAAGACGCCCTCTTGATGGTCAGGATATGATTGTGGGATGCTGATTTTTTTTTTCCCTTTGCTTTTGTTAAAAAGTTCCATCAGTGTTCTTGTGGAAGATGTGTCTTCATAGTGATCATGACAAGACCCGATATTTGTTAAACTCCTGTTGTGTTCTGGATGAACCATATAGATTTCATCTTTTCAGGAACCCTAGAAAATAGATCATATATTTATAAGCATGTCACTGATAAGGAAGCTTGAGTTTTTAGAGAGCTTGAGTCATTCGTCTGTGACTAGCCATCTGGTAAATTTAGAACTGGGCAATTGAACTTACCACACATTTAGCTTTGAACATCTTCATGACTTGGCTGCATTTGTAGAATGTCTACAGAATCTGTTAATAAGAATTAAATTACTACTATTTCTTAAGCTATTGGTGTATATTTTGGAGTGTTCTGTTCTCAATCCTGTTGATTTACCTTGTCAAGTAAACACTATTATGATTACCACCATTTTATAAAGGAGAATGAAGGCTCAGAGCTGTTAAGCAACTTGCTTGAAGACACGGGCAGTGTGCCCAGGACCTCTAGTGCATACCTAGGCAGATTATAGCCAGGACTCACCGTAAGTCTGTGATCTCCCCCACAGTACTAAAGGGGTTGCTGGAGAAATCTGCAGAGAGCACTGGGTCTGAGAACCCTCAAATAAGAACAGCTCATTAGTGGTCAGGACAGAGAGCGCAGCCACGGATGCTGGTTCCCCAAGGTAGCCTGCTGCCAGGTACTTGGGTCAGCTTTGGCCTGCTCACTTCCACTCTGATCACCCCATATTTTTTGGATAACATAGCTTTACTAATTGACTTTTCCATCTCCTCTCTTTGGTTCTTCGTTCAGCTTGAAGCTTTTTATTCCATCTTCACCACGGAGCAGCAAGACCATGTCAAGTCAGTGGAGTATCTGAGAAATAACTTCCGACCACAGCAGGCGCTGAATGACAGGGTGGTGTCAAAGTCTGCTGTCCGAGATGCCTGGAACCATGACCTCGCAGACTTCTTAGACAACCCACTAGGGACAGAAGCCTCTAAAGGTAAATTTTGATTGAGTACTCCAGCCCGGGGAAGAAAGGTTTCTCATCTTAAATGATTTTAAATTACAAAGGGAATGAAGACATGAATGTGATCCTTAGCACCCACATGAAAGTCAGGCTAAGTAGCATATGCAACTATAACCTAGTCTTGAGCATAGATTTGGCTGTGGAGACATATAGAATGCCCAGAGCTCAGCAACCAGCCAGTGTTCCAAATCAGCAAGCTCAAGGTTCAGTTACAGAGCCTGTTTCAAAAATTTAGAGAAAAGTTGAGGGAGACACCTGTTGTCAACCTCTACACACACATACAAACACACACACATACCAGTTCAAAGTCAGCCAAGAATCGGGACTTGGCATTAAGAACATAAGTTCTCTGCTGATTTGTCTGGACAATAAATAGGAATGAGCTATGAATAAGTTTGGTTAGAGCTATTTAAAATTGCCCTTTTGACTAGCAGGGATAGATCAGCCATTCTCTATTTTTATTTTGTAATTCCAAACTAATTAGCAATGTCTAAATGAAACATTTTAAAATCAAACTCTTATCTTACATGTGTGTTTCAGTTGTCTGGTTTTTTTGTTTGTTTTGTTTTTTGAGGCAGTGTCTCATGTAGTCCAGGCTGGCCTCATGTTTGTAGTGCAGGCAGAGATGACCTTGAACTCCTGACCTTCCTGTCTCTGCCTCCTAAGGGCTGAGATTCTAAGCATGTGCCACCGTGCCCTTCAGTTTATGCAGTTCTCAAGATGGAGCCCATGGATTTGTGCATGTTAGGTCGAAGCTCGCCACCAGCTCAGCCACGTCCCCAGTCCTGTCCTGCCTATTAGGCATTTCTCTGTTGAAATCAAGAGATTTCCCTGAACTGAAACACCAGCATCTTTGAAGTATTCTCAGCGTGCAGCATTCCTCCTCACTCCTTACTAAGCAAGGGGTGCAGCCTGGCTTTGAACGCCTCCCAGAAAGCACTAGCTTCTTAAACCATTGCAGAGTTCATTCTAGTACCTGACGAGTATGTGAGCCTCACTTGCTGGCACCTTACTTATATTTCTGCTTTCCTATGTGAAATGAACTTGAGTTCCTCTCCCAGGAACCTTCCTTTTCCCCCCTGTCTTATTATAATTGTGACTTGCTTCTTAGGAAACACATGGAGAAATATGTCTGCTCAAAGCCCTAGTCCTGGGGGGAGAAGCAACAGAAATGTTTGCTTGCTCTGATAACATGGCTGTTTCCCACTGAATGTCCTCCTCCTTTGGAGTTGTGTGTTTGGGTGGCATAAGAAGTGCTTTAGCGACAAGAAAAGTAGGCTGTGCTCTCTCATCACACTACTTGTGTGATAGGTGGCATGGGGAGTTTGTTCCAAGAATGTCCCTATCCCCATTCTTAGCACATGAGCTTTGCAGGTCCAGAAGCATGAGATTATAGTCCGCACACACCTGTACTTGGATTACAGCAATACGCCTGTTTTCCATGCTCCTAAACAAAAAACAGAGCTGAAGGAAGGATAGCCAGAAAGGTAAGGATGTAGCCTGTGGTAGAACTTATGTAACAGCAAAACAAAGCCCTGAGTTCAGTCCTTGGCACAGATTTATGAAGTTGGGAGCAGGAACAAGTAGGGTGTGACTCTTGTCTGTCAGTGGTTTTATATAACACCGATCTGGCCAGGTGTTCTCACAATTTCCTATCAGTAGTAGGACAACGAAGATGCTCATGAACCTTTGAGATGCCTGGGGCTGAGTTGCTATTAAAAAAAAAAAAAAATTCTCACTTGGTCTAACTTTCTAAGCTTAGCTAAAAATAACTGAACTCCAAGGCTTTTCCCCAAGAGAACTTTGAAAAAGGAGGACTCTTCAGGGTTCACTCTTCATGAGCAGTCTGTGCAGAGGTCATACAAGGGATATGAAATCTGGATCAAGAGGAACATACAATCTGCTAACTCAGAAAGGCTGAGAACAGTCACAAAGCTCTGGAAACTGTGCTGAGTGTATGAGTGAGTGATAGACAGACAATGCAGAGAGATTGAGTGGCATCTGTCATCTAGGAAAATTAGATGGTGGTGGACTCGTTCCATTTATGTGTCAAAATGGACAAGGTCCTCCATGGAATGTGGCCCAAGCCTTAAGTGTAGAATGTGGACAGTTGGCTCTTCACATTCTCCAAAGCTTATTGCAAATATCATGTCCATTGTTAACTCTTGCAGTGTGTAAATATTGAAAGGATTTTGATGTTTTTAGAGGGGGCCTAGGGAGAGAAGAAATGGGAGTGGGAGAGGAGGAGGTAGGAAGATCTGCAGTTCTCTTTAAATTTTTAGCATTATAGAAGAGTGAAATCATTCTCTTCCTCATATGAGTGTGTGATGATTAGCCTGTACAGAACACTTGTCATAGGCAGGAGTCTGAGTCCATAAGGACATAAGGATCTGTTGGAACTTACAGATCCTTGTATCAGAGATCAAAGCCCTGGGCCTGGGACTCAGGACAGCAGTGTATAGGGAGACTGTTTACTAAGGAAGAAAAAGGCACTGAGAGAGAGGGCTAGAGAGAGGGAACAGCCCTGAGACACAAAGGGCTGCTCCTCTTTTTCATGGTTTGTGTGTGTGTGTGTGTGTGTGTGTGTGTGTGTGTGTGTGTGTGTGTGCCATTTACATAGCACCCATCTGTCTTCTCCATTTAGAAATGTGTTGTTATTGTTGTTGCTTTTCATTTTTTGTTTTGCACAAGTTCTCTTCTCTCCCATGTGACTCTGGGGGGGAGGAGTCTCCAGTCTTCCAGCCAGCTGACTTCATTCATATGTTAGTCTTGCTGTCTTTCTGTCCACACCCTTCTCTCCTGCCACATACTCACTGTAGAAAGAAGAATAGAAGTTGGGTCTAAAACTGAAGTTCATGGACTCTCTAGGCTATTGCATAAAGGACTCTTGAGAGCTTAAATCCCATATCTAGAGGCTTGTAAACCATCCTTATAGGGGAGAGAGGATGCAGCCTGAATGTAAGTGGCTCTTCCGAAGTCAGTGAGTTTCTGGGAGGAGATTTTTGACCATGGAGGCAGATAACAGAAACCTGGGGGAGTCCCTCTCTGTACTTGCTGTTCCATAGGTGCCTCCAGTTTGAAGCCCAAAGTAGCATATTTTTGGCCTAATACTTCTGAAATCACTGAAAATACCATTATACATGCCTGGAGAAATAGTACATAATACATGCACAGCTCCATGAATCTCCACAAGCTCGATACACCTGAGCAATAAGCACTCGCATCAAGGCGCTGACATCCCCACTATCCTAGGATGGTCCCAACCTCCTTTCACATCTGGGTTCCCCGTGATAACTGGTGGCAGAAAGTGGCTTTGCCCTGGTGTGCCTGTGGGGCCAGCCGACTAGCCTTCAGTGAATTACGCCACGTTGACTTTGGGAGTGTTGTGTGGAGCGGTTGTTCATTCTTAGGACTACATTCCATGTGCATGCAACTATTCCAGGAAGTGTCCGCATCTGTGGCTGCAGTGTGCTCAGCAAGTTGTAGAACCATCTCTGCTGTCTACTTCTAGAACACTTCCATTGCTCTCAAAGAGATGATAGCCCCTTTAGCCACTACCCTTGGTCCCTTTTCTATAATTTCCCCACCCACTCTTCCTCTCCCCCTGGTAACCACAACTTTACTTTCTGACTATTTGGATTGCCTCTTCTAGACATTTCATATCAATAGTTCACAGAGTGTGTATCTGGCTTCTTTCGCTTAATGTAATATGTCTGGGAGCATGAATCAGAAATAAGAGCTGGTTTATGGTCCAATAATATAGCACCATGTGGACATGCTACATTTTTGCTTATTCATGTATTGCTACTGGACATTTGGAGCTTTCCATTGCCGGGTTATTAGGAATTTTGCTACTCTCACATCTGGGTTTAATTGTGATGGCTTATGCTCTGTACTTAAAAGAGTCAGGCATAGAGCTACCCATTCATACCAAATCTCTAGGTGTGTAGTTGGGAGGACTGGCCTTGCATTTTTCCATAATGGCAGCACCATTTACATTGTCATTAATAGTGTATACAGTGGATACAATGTCTTCCCATCCTTGCCAACACTTGTTATTGTGCATCTTTTTTTTTTTTTTTTGGCCACACTAACAGCTAAAGTACTTTCCCTTTGGCTTTTGCTTTCAGTTCATAATGACAAAGGATAGCTCTGTTTTATTTTTGCATGTACACACCTTGGTACTCTAGGCAAACTCCTGCTCTGTTTCTCCCTGAGATTACTAGCATATTCAGTAGCACCACAGGTAGAAGCCACAGACAGATGCTCATGGTCACTAAATAGCCAAGGAGCTGATGTGGTTGGCCTTAGAGATACCAGGCAAGAGGCGATGCAAAGGAGAGTCGTTTTCTCTTTACCATTTATGTGCACAATCTGGATCCTACTGGAGTAGCGGTCTGTGCTGTGATCTGATGCTGCTTTACAAGGGACAAGGCCCATCTCTGGGCATGCTCCAGCAGCTCACCATCAGAAGCCCGGGTCCTCAAGAAAGATGCAGTGCTTTAGGCATCTGCTGTGGCATTGCTACAGAAGAAAGAAAAATAAGTCAACATGTAAGTCAGGAGTCATCTTTAAACTTTTTGGTTCAGTGGCCAATAATGTATACTCTTGACTCTGAAAGCCGTATGACTCCTGCTGCAACTGTGCAGGGCTGCCATTGAGCCATGAAAGGAGCCAAGGCTAATATGGAAATGAGTGTGGACATAGAAAATATCTCCCAGCGACACTTTTTGAATGTGAATGAGTCCAGACCAGATTGGTCCTGGGAGCCTAGTTTAGGTCCCTGCTCTAGGGAACGTTTCACAGTAAGATGGAGCAAGCATATGTTTTTTAAAAGTAAATAGTAAATATCTCAGCAGTTGTGGTGTGAGTAGGGACATAGCTATGTGGTAAAGTATGAGCAGAAAATGTACAAGACACAGGTATTTCACCCCCAGTTGCCTCCCACCGATGGTGATGGTAGTAAATATGAA